CATCAACATCAGGAAAAATAGTATATTCTTTGCACGATGTTTAACAAAGTATTCTAATCTCTACGTGCAGAATTCATTTTTTAACGTGACTAATAAATTTAACTTTATTTCTTCGACAAAACGCAACGTACTCTTTTTTATATAGGTAATGTAATATTATTTCTTATTTATTGAAGCTAGCATATCTACAAAATTTTATGAGCCCTACAAAAGATAATCAGCAAAATGTTTTATAACACATTCTGAAACAGTTGCTCCCGTCATAAAATTGCTTATCGTGCCGTAACTGTGTTACAGTAATTTTCCAAAATGGCGTTCCTTAAGTAATTAGGTTAACAAACATGGAGATATTGGTAGCAAATTACAACGGTAATAAGTAGGTACAAACTAACGAACTGTAATTACAAAGGCTACACACAGACATTCTTAGAATGGGCGCCCGCGCCTGTCTTAACCTTAAAATTAGAAATCCGATTCGTCGTCTGAACTAATTTAATTTTCCAAGCTTTTCGGGACAGCCCTGACGTTAATAAAATTTGCGCCGATCGAAGGGGAAACTTCTTAATTAGCGAGGGCCTATAACGAAGGGCCTTCCACGTGACACCCCGCCGATTCAACCGCTAGACATTTTCAATTCGTAACTAATTCGCAAAGCGATAAACTCGTCTTTAGATACCAACTTGGTGGAAACTAAGCAATATTCAGTATGTGTTTCACGCCGAGAGTTTGGGGTTAATAAAATTGGGATGAAGGCTACAGGAATTGGAACAGAGAGAATTTAAATTAGAAAGTATATTTATTTACATTATAATACTTTTATCAACTTCCTCTCGGGGGATGCGTTCGTGTTGACTTGGATTTTCCGGAATAATACATCAAATCTCGGCAAATGTTACGACTATTCACGGGAAATGAAAAGATATAATTTCCTCTACGTCTGTACTGGTCCCGTTCATCGAATTCAGCATTTCCGTGGAGTGAGCGCGGGGCCCGGTCGGTGGCGAACACGACGAACGTCCGCGGCGCACACCACACTAATCGAATGACCGACACGTTCCATCCCCACTCAAGCAAATTACAGCTGTAACAGCTAGAATAGGTGTCCGACACAGATTGTCGAGTTACTGCTGACCTACAATGTTCTAAAGAAATCTTTTATAAAATTGACTTTTGTTCTAACTACGTATTCCCTGCCCTTCCGAATGCGAACACAGCGTTTTCTTTGCGTTCTTTCTTAAAATTATTTAGCTTTTGTATTCAAAGGTTCTGGAACATAACGCAAAAGTTGAAGGGAATGTTATCAAAGGAAACGGTTTGGTTTTGTATAAAAGGAATATTTCGTTTATTTCAGTTTCGTTTTGTTTGGGTAAGTCAATATTATATTGTATTCGTAAAACAATGAAGTTCAAAAAATACTTCTTTGTTTGTATTTCAGTAACAATAATTAATTACAGAAGCAAAAAGTGCTTTTTATTTCATTTATTTGGCGTTTAAAGTTTTTTATATCATTTCGTTGTTGACGAGAGATAAAATAAGTGAAAAATTCATTTGATTGAACAACTCCATAGAAAGCTACATAAAACATTGTTACAGGGCAATTTATTGTGAGTTAACATTAAATATTTAAAGTAGCAGTTAATATCGAACGTTTTGAAAGTCAACGAACGCGAATTTTGAATTTGAAACAGTATAAATGATTTATTACCCGCAAGCGCTTTTCATATTTGAAGAGTTGGTTCGGTAAAAAGTTCAATATTAAAAAACTTCGGTGGCCTGTCGATGTCATTATTTCTGCAAGTTGGCCCCGGGTTTACGAAATACGTTTTCTGAAAATTTTCTCATAACTTCAACCGTTCCTTTATTTTTCATCTCTGAGCATTACGCGAGTTTTATTTTTGACCCTGATTATGTTTGTGCGACTTTGGACTAGTTCGAAAACTTTTATACTATTTGTATGTAGCAAATATTACTAACATAACATAACATCACGCCTTTTATCCCCGAAGGGGTAGACAGAGGTGCACACAGAAGTAACACCCACTTTTTACTATTTATGTTATGAGTCCTATGTAATAGGGGTTGAGCCTATATAGCAAATATTACTACTAGCCACTAAATAGGTAAATCTAGAATTGTTAAATGATATATACCAACAAAACAACACAGAAACTATTCTAAGAAACAAGTGTACTTTACTTGTATATTAGCTGTTGCCCGTGACTTCGCTCGCGTAGAATATGAATTTATGCACATTCTTAACGTTTTTATGATTCAATTTTTCAAAAAAAAATCCTATTACTCCTTAGTACATTAGCTACCTACCAATAAAAGTTCTTTCAAAATCGGTCCAGCCATTCCAGAGATTAGCCAGTACAAACAGACAGACTGACAAACAGACAAAAATTCTAAAAAAATAAATTTTTCAATGTGTATCGTATGTATATTCATACTATGCATGTAGTAATAAAAAGCGGTTATTTTAATATTACAAACAGACACTCCTAAAATTAAAAAATTAAAAAAATATATATATTTATTATTTTATTTATCTGTAAGTATTGATGTAATCTGACATCATTGTTATGTGATCTGACAAAATATATGATTTAATTAGATTATTATTAATTCACCAAAATTAAGCTAGTTCTCCTAACGAATTTAAATTAATTAATAGCAAGGAAATTATAATTTAAACGTTGGCACTGATAATATGTATATTAATCCTGGAACCCCAAAGTCAACATAAACACTTGTAACCACTAAACCAACAAAGGAATAAGAAGGGCCACCCCAATGTTATATTAGTATCGAATTCTTTATTAAAAAATAACATATTATCACA